ATTCAAACAGATCATTTACAAAAAAAGCCAAACATCTCTGCCCTCATAGCCCTTCCATTCTGGAAGGAGACAGAGAACAAACAAGAAACCACTTTAAGTAATTAGATTATACAGTATGTTAGACCATAAGGGCTTTAAAAAATAAAATAAAATAAAAAAGGAAATAGAGCTCATAGGTAAAGGGGTTCAGAAGTATGGAGGGAAGTATACTGTACTATTAACAGGACGTACAAAAACTTGAAAGAGGTAAACAGAAAAATAATTTTGACTCAACAGATTAAAGAAGAAAAATAAGACATACTGACAGAAGCTTAAAAAAAAAAAAATTACTGTCTACATAAGAAAAGGCCAAGCAAGCACCATAAGTAATAAGCTATACAAGTAGCAGCAATTCCACAAGAATTAGTTAAGCATCTACTATTACTACTATTACGAGACACTATGATAAATGCTAGGGATACAGTAAATGGGATATGCTCACTTTATTCGAGATGCTTATGAGATGGAGGAGCAATGAGATATCAGTTTAAGTATGAGAAGAGTTTATAAAATGCAGTATCCAAATATTACATTATTTCATGAATATTCAAGAGCCAGACCTTATCTTCCCTATAGAAAAGAATAACTTACAGTGTAGCACTATCTAACAGAACTTTCTGAGATGACAGAAACATTCTATATCTGTGCTGTCCAGTAAGGTAGCCACTATCACATGTGGCCATTGAGCACTTAAAATGTGGTTGACACAACTGAGAGGCTGAATTATTAATTTTACTTATTTTTAGTCATTTAAATAGCTACATGTGGCTAGTTGCTACTTAATGAATAGCTCAGGTATAGAGTATAACAACCAATCTCATTCGGCTCTACACTTAATTGTTGGATCTGGAGAGGTCTTAGAGAAACATCACAAAGGTAACTAAAGGGTTGGAAAATAAAACCTCCAGGAGAAGACCAAAAATAGAATTTTTTATTGTATTTATATCTTCTTTTGTTCCAGAAAGAATTTAACATGACTTGCAAAGACTCACAGCACAGCATGAAAATGATTACTTGGTAAACAAATGAAAAATGCAGGTATCTACATTAAACAAAGGGTATAAAACAAGTGTAAAATAGATGAGAAGAAAAAGAATTATCTTCCACAGAAGAAACTGCTAAAGAGTATCTTAATACTGATGTTTTATGACCATAAGCAATTGTTTAAAGAATTTTAGTGACTAAGATACTGTTCAAGAAGGTCACAGAATATATTTAATACAGAGCATTGAGATTGGTGTAGACGGTTCATCGCATGCCCACTGGCTGGAGGCCGCATTTCCTCACCACAGAGCTCTCTGCATAGGAAGGCTTGAGCGTCCTCATGGCATGGCAGCTGGTTTTGTCAGTGAGTGATCTGAGAGAGCAAAGAGGAAGCTGCAATGCCTTTCATGACCTAGTCTCAGAGGTCACACACTGACACTTCTGCCATATTCTCTTCAGAAGCAAGTCACTAAATTCAGCCTACCCTCAAAAGGAAAGGAATTAACTTCCTCCTTTTAAAGCACAAAGTATCAAAGTTCTGTGGGCACTACAACGGGACATACGAATTTCCTCTCACTTGCGGATTGCTAAAAATTATAAAGAGATTCTGTGATTCCTTTCTCAGGAAACCCCAATATGGGACTAAATTATCTTCTTCCTAAAATCTCAATTGTTTTCTATAAGGCCAGAAATTAAACACAACTGGGTGCTTGGTAACTTACAGCCCATCTATTTTCTAATAGCAATTCCTAAGTAAATGGCATCTAATAAACCACTGTGCTATATATATAACATTACAATCTCATAATAATCCTGCAGAGTGGTTATTATTATCCCATTTCAATATAAGAAACAAGAAATCTACAGACTAAGCCAGGATTCATACTCAGGTCTACATGGTTCCAAAGCCACTGTCCTTTCCACTGCACAAAGCTTCTATTACTTGAGCTACCACAGACAGCACCTTGTTCTGTGGCATCAAAGATCTCAGAAGGACCACAAAATACGGACCACAAAATACATTATTTCTAAGGTTCTTAGAATCTTAGAATACTTTCCTCATTCTGTTTTCCCTGTCTGGTGTTTTCTATTTTCTACTCTGGGGACTCATTTTACTTCACTTTACGTCTCATCCAATGCCGGGCACCTTGGCCCATCCTCCCCCTGGGTCCACCTGTATTCCTGTTCATGCCAGACAACAGCACTAGGCCCTCTCCCAAGAGGAGACCAAACCACACCTCCCCCAACCCCCCAAGGACCAACACTGGATTCCTGACAGAGTGTCAGGAGTGGAGATATTCTCTCAGAGCGGCTGGAGACTGAGCCAGACCCCACGAGACCCCTGTGATTTGCCCAAAGGCATAGGCAGGACCAGAAGTCTGTCCTTACTAAGAGCTCTCTGCACCACCACACAATTTTCTCTCCACATCCTAGGACTTGCACATCAGTCCACCTTTCGTTGTCTCCAAACTGTGCCTGGTACAAGGACACTGCCCCCAGAAGAAAGCAGACGAAATCTGGAAAGCATCCTCATTTCTTCATTCTCCCCCAACACCACCACTGATCCCTGAGTCTTGTCCATTCAACCTTATAAATATTCTCAATACTTATCCTATCCATCTTCACAGTGTCCTAATTCAGGTACTTTTCTTTCACTTGGGCTTCTGCGACGGCTTCTTAAAGGTCCCCCATCTCTAGCTTTACTCCCTCACTTACTCCTCACAGTGAGCCAGAGAAATCTTTCTAATGTGTAGGCCTCATCATGCCACTCCCTTAATAATGTTCAACGGGTTCCCCATAACTCCCCTCACAATTGATCAAGTCCAGAAGGGCCTTGTAAACTGGCTCAGGGTCCTGGGTTTTCTCCTACGGATTATGAAAAGAGAACTGGTGTTTGAATGCCTCCTGTGTGCCAAACACCTTACCCATGTAATTTCATCTAATCCCCCCAGCGGCTCTGCAAAATCAGTACATGGCCCCTTTGCAGAGACTGTTCTTTCTAGTTAGTTCTCTCATCTGTAACCCAAGAAGTTGAAGTAATTTTAAAGCCTTTCCTGCCTCACCACCCTACCCGACAGATGCAGGCCCCCACCTCTTCCAAATATAGATTTCCATTACGATTTGTTTACACAGCAATATCCACAAAATACTTAATCACTTTCATCTTTGTACCCACAGCCCCTGGCAAAGAACCTGTTTCATAGTAGGTACTTAATAAATGGTTGATGACTAGGATCCTGACTAAAAGGAGGGTCCATCATGGTTTAGATAGGCCTGAGCATTAAATCAATCACATATCTACCGGACTATCACGTAAACTAACCTATGTCCTCAAAATCCCAAGTAGCACACTGGGGCTACTCATCATCTGGACCAACCCAAGTCTAGGTTTCTTTCTTCTATACTCCCTCTGCTCTCTGTACATCCCCCCAGGGTGGTATGCTATCTCGGTTCTCTGGTATAGAAGAGAGCAAGGACTCTATTTTTCCACCTCATCGCTTAGCACAATACCCGGTACAAGGGAGACCATCAATCAATGCGTTAGTATCCTCTAACATTTATTTTGTACTATATATATACCGTATGTCCAAAGGATTTCATATGCATTATCTCACTTAATCCTCATAATCACCCCACCAGGGAGGTATTGTTCAACATTATACCCATTAAATAGATAAGGAAACTGAGGCCCAGAGAAGAACAGAACAAAATCAACTGGAGTTTCACATATTTTACATTTCCACATGTTTTACTTCATGTACTCCTCTGTACAACCCAGCAATGAAATTATTTGTCATATTTCCATTTTCAGGCAAGCAATCTAAAGTTTGGAGAATCTGCTCAGTAACGCACAGCCTGTAAAGCCAGGAACCAAATCCAGGTCTATCCGACTGCTGGTCACCTTCTCTTTTCAGCTGGCTATCTTGCCCCTCGGTGGGAGTCAGGACTGAACTGGCCTCTCCTGACCAGGACTCCTCCACGCTGCACGAAACGCTGCCCCCGCGGGAGATGGCGACGCCTGAGCTCCACACTCAGACAGAACGGAGAGCCGGCCCCAAATCGGAGGTTAGGGCAGCGTGTCCCCGCGCCCCCGCAGCTCCCACGCCTGCACGCGCGTCTCCCCCGTTAGAACGCACGCCTTATGGCTCCAAGGGCGGCGTCAGTCTCGCTCCCAGCCAGGGCCCGGGGCAGCCCCTCGCACGAGACGGGGCGCCCTAAGCGCGGACGAAACGGGCATCGATGCCCAGCGCCCCGGCCTCCGCCCCCTCCGCCGCGCCCCCTCCTGCACGGCGGGAACTCCGGGCGCCAGCGTCCGA